CTTTTACTCCTCCAATTTAAAAAAAAAATCTAGCTATTATAACTCCTTTACACAGTTATGATACTCCACTAAGTAGTTTGTATGTATTTAACATGCTAGAAAAGATGTTTTGAAAATTTTACTAAGCCATGGTATCTTGATCCCCCTGCCATGGTATATTGAACCCCCTACTATAGACCTCTAATTTCAAAAATTCTAGCTATTCTTACTCCTTTACACAGTAATAATACTCCAGTAAGTAGTTTGTATGTACTTAACATGCTGAAAAAGATGTTTTCAAAATTTTACTTAGCCATGGTATTTTGACCCCCCTGGCATGGTATATTGAAGCCCCTACTATAGACCTTTAATCTAAAAAAATCTAGCTATTCTAACTCCTTTATTTGATGATAATACTCAAATAAGTTTATATAGTTTGTATGTATTAAAGATGCTGGAAAAGATGTTTGAAACATTTTACTTAGCCATAGTATTTTGACCTCCCTGCCATGGTATATTGAACCCCCTACTAATTTCAAAAACTTTAGCTATTCTTACTCCTTTACATAGCAATAATACTCCAATAAGTAGTTGGTATGTATTTAACATGGTGGAAACAATGTTTTGAAAATTTTATTTAGCCATGGTTGACCCCCTGCCATGGTATATTGAATCCCCTACTATGGACCTCTAATTTCAAAAATTCTAGCTATTCTTACTCCTATACATAGTAATAATACTCCAGTAAGTAGTTTGTATGTATTTTACATGCTGGAAAATATGTGTAAAAATTTTATTAGGCCATGGTTTTTTTACCCCCTGCCATGGTATATTGAACCGCCAACTATAGACCTTGAATTTCAAAAATTCTAGCTATTCTCACTCCTTTACATAGTTATAATACTCCAATTAGTAGTTGGTATGTATTTAACATACTGGAAAAGATGTTTTGAAAATTTTACTTAACCATGGTATTTTGATCCCCCTGCCATGGTATGTTGACCCCCTTTTACTCCTCCAATTTTAAAAAAATTAGCTATTATAACTCCTTTACACAGTTATAATACTCCACTAAGTAGTTTGTATGTATTTAACATGCTGGAAAAGATGTTTTTTTAAATTTTACTTAGCCATCGTATTTTGACCCCTTGCCATGGTATATTGAACCACCTTCTATAGACCTCTAATTTCAAAAATTCTGGCTATTCTAACTCCTTTACACAGTAATAATACTCCACTAAGTAGTTTGTATGTAATTAACATGCTGGAAAGATGTTTTGAAAATTTTACTTAGCCATGGTATTTTGACCCCCCTGCCATGATATATTGAACCCCTTACAATAGACCTCTACTTTCAAAAAATCTAGCTATTCTAACTACTTTACACAGTAATTATACTCCACTAAGTAGTTTGTATGTTTTTAACATGCTGGAAAAGATGTTTTAAAAATTTTACTTAGCCATGGTATTTTGACCCCAATGCTATGGTATATTGAACCCCCTACTATAGACCTCTAATTTCAAAATTTTTTGCTATTCTAACTCCTTTACATATAGTTATATTAGTCCAATAAGTAGTATGTATGTATTTAACATGCTGGAAAAGATGTTTTGAAAATTTAACTTAGCCATGGTATTTTGAACCCTCCCCCTTTTTTACCATGGGAAATTTAACTCCCTTTATATGTTAGGATTTCAAATAACCAAAGCTTCAAGGTACATGGTCTAGTCATAATGCTCCAATAAGTATTTTGAATGAAATTTTGTTGGTAAAGACTTCATCATGTTCAGAGCACTTATACCAAGCCATGGTATTTATTTTTTCCTATCATGGAAAATTTACTTCCTCTTTTGGAATGTCTGATTTTCAATCTATAATAAGCTTTAAAATAATGTATTATGTTCTAATAATTATCTAGAATGAAAAAAAAACAGGGGGGTTCAATTTACCATTGGGGGTCAATTTTCCATACAGGGGGTAGGGGTTCATTTTACCATAGCGGTATTTTGACCCCGGGTCAATTTTCCATGGGGTTCAAAATACCATATGACAGGTACCGGTCTGTATTTTTGTTACTTGTTTTTCTGCTTTGTATCGATCTGATAAGGTAAGCCCTTTTCAACTGATTTTTATACGACCGCAAAAAAATTTTGCGGTCGTATATTGGTATGACGTTGGTGTCGTCGTGTTCGTCGTCGTCGTCGTCGTCGTCCGAAGACACAGTGGTTTTCGCACTCTAACTTTAGTTTCAGTAAATGGATCTCTATGACATTTTACCATAAGGTTCAATACCACAAAAGGAAGGTTGGGATTTTGGGGATTATGGTACCAACAGTTAAGGAATGAAGGGGCCAAAAATAAGCATTTTTGTAACTTCCAGACATAACTTGTGTGTTAGTGTATGGATCTCTCTGACATTGTACTACAAGGTTCCATATCACAAAGGGAATGCTGGGATTGATTTTGGGGGTAATTGCCTCAAAATTTTAGGAATAAGGGGCCAAAAAAGGGAAAAAAAACAAGCATTTTTCTTGTTTCATGACAATTACTTGTGTGTAAGTGTATGGATCTTTCTGAAATTGTACTACAAGGTTCCATATCACAAAGGGAAAGCTGGAATTGAGTTTGGGGGTAATTGCCTAAAACGTTTAGGAATAAGGGGCCAAAAAGGGGCCATAAATAACAATTTTTCTAGTTTCCAGACAAAAACTTGTGTTCAGGTGTATGGATCTCTCTGAAATTGTACTACAAGGTACCATACCACAAAGGGAAGGTTGGGATTGATTTTGGGGGTAATTGCCTCAAAATTTTAGGAATAAGGGGCTAAAAAGGTACAAAAAACAAGCTTTTTTTCTAGTTTCAGGACAATAACTTGTGTGTAAGTGTATGGATATTTATGAAATTGTACAACAAGGTTCCATATCACATAGGGAAAGGTGGGTTTGAGTTTGGGGGTAATAGCCTTAAACGTTTAGGAATATGGGGCCAAAAAGGGGCCAAAAAACAAGCATTTTTCTAGTTCCCAGACAATAACTTGTGTCCAAGTGTATGGATCTCTCTGAAATTGTACTGCAAGGTACCATACCACAAAGGAAAGGCTGGGATTGAGTTTGGGGGTGATGAATCATAAGGGGGTTCAAAAAATTTGGGGGGGGGGATTTTTTTTTCCTTTTTATGCCCCCGCCGTAGCGGAGGGGGACGGCGGGGCATTAAGTTTTACCCTTGTTCGTCTGTACGCCCGTCCGTACGCCCCAAAGTTGGTTTCCGTTCTCTAACTTTAGTTTGCCTCAACCAAATGTTATGAAACTTATACACAATGCTTATTACCACTACATACAGATCAAGTTTGAATTGGTGCCGTCACTTTTACTGTTCTAGAGTTATGCCCTTTACAAATGGAAAAATTGCTGAATTTTTTTCATTTTTTTTTCTAAATATCAAGTATTTTTAAAATTGGAGTTATCTTTCTTTGTCCGTGATTATAGTTGAATCAACTACAACCAATGCTTTATACAATGCAATATTTAATTTTACCTTCCACTGATAAATTAAAGCAATTTTTACCTTTCATTTCTAAAAATATTTTTAAGTCTTCTATGAAAATTGGAGTTATCTTTCATAATGGTAGTTGAATCAACTACAACCAATGCTTTATACAATGCAATATTCAATTTTACGTCCTACTGATAGATTAAAGCAATCGTTACCATTCAGTGCTTACAAGCACTTTGATTACGATTCTAGAGTTATGCCCATTTACAAATGAAAAAAATTGCTGAATTTTCGTTTCCGTTCTCTAACTTGAGTTTATCTCAAATTAATGTAATGAAATGTATATATAATGCTTTTTACCACATAACTCAGTTTAATTTTTTGTTTCCGTTTTCTAACTTTAGTTTGCCTCAACCAAATGTTATGAAACTTATACACAATACTTATTACTACAGATTAAGTACGAAATTTGGTGGCGACACTTTTACCATTCTTGAGTTATGTCCCTTTATAAACATAAAAATTGCTGAATTTTTCGTTACCGTTCTCTTACTTTAGTTTGGCTCAACCAAATGTTATAAAACTTACACACAACCGTTCTAGAGTTATGCGTATTTACAAATAGAACAATTGCTGAATTTTTAGTTTCTGTTCTCTACTTAAGTTAGCCGTAACCAAATGTTATGAGACTTACATACATTACTTATTACCACAAAACTCAGATCAAGTTAAAATTTGGTTAGCGTCACTTTTACCGTATTTCAGTTATGTCCCTTTATAACTATATGATATGCAAGCGGGGGCATCATCTGTGTCCACATGTGGACACTATCCACATTTATTTTTTTTTTTTTAATTTTCCATTTTAAATTGGTTATTTCTGATTTATATATAAAAGCAAATAATAATGATATGGTTTGAATAGGTAAATTAAAAAATTTTAAGTTCTTAGACCATATTCATTCTATGTCAAATATTTAATCACAATCCAAATTCAGTGCTGTATCAAGCTTGAATGTTGTGTCCATACTTGCCCCAACTGTTCAGGGTTCGACCTCTGCGGTCGTATCAAGCTGCGCCCAGCGGAGCATTTTATTATAGTTTGTTCATATGTTGTACTGTTACACCACTGTCCCAGCTTAGGGGGAGGGTTGGAATACCGGTAACATGTTGAACCCCACCACATTCTTTATGTGCCTGTCTTCAGTCAGGAACCTGAAATTCAGTTGTTGTCGTTTGTTGCTGTATATCTTATTTGTATTTCGTTCATTGTTTTTACATACATCAGGCCATTGGTTTTCTAGCTTGAATTCATTTCGGCGCCTTTTATGTGGTATGGGTTTTGTGCATTGTTGAAGGCTGTACGGAGACCTATAGTTGTTATCTTCTATGTCATTTGGTATCTGGTGGAGAGTTGTCTCATGGGCAATTATACCACATCTTCTTAATTTTATATACATTTGTATCTTGCAATTTTTGTGTTAATATTTTGATACTTGATGGCTTACCTTGGTGGGTTTTTTTTCAGGATGCAATACCTATGCGCAATGCTTCTGTTGTGGATTCAATCAGAAGTGGAGAGAAAATGATGATCCTTTAAGAAGCAGTTCACATTATGATGATTGTTCATATTCTCAAAAAGTAAATGACAGCTCTGCTCAGGTATAAATATTTGTTTTAAAATTTTTAAAAAAGTATGATACTGATAATTTGCTTATTGAGATCAGTGATTTTAGTTGTAATAATTTAAGTTTACGAACAGCTTAATGAACTATTTTATATTGATTTTATATGAATGAAATGTGATATGGGTTTAAATATTTTCTAGTAAGCAGATGATAGCTATTCACATTTAAAATTAATGTATTAAAAAATAAGACAAGCTTCGATTGTCAATTATCAAAATGTGTCTGGACAATTCAAACAGTGAAAATGTGTAAGTTGAATTGTACATTTGTATAATAATTAACATATACATTAAATTAGAAAACAAGCATGCTGTCTGTCCTTTCTAAAGAAGCCCTAGTCAGTTAAGTGTAATGTTTGAATTGTATGAAATATGAATTCTATTGATTTCAAAATTTGAAAAGGTCATATAATAGCATGTAGAGTCTTGTCATCTTGAAAAAATCTCTGAGCATGACTTTGCAGCAAGGTTTTAAAAAAAGTCAAAGACAGAGAAAGGCTTTGTCTTTACCTGTTACATGTATAACATTTATTTTTGAGTCAGATTTGACTTATGACTTGCAATGAAATAAATTCTTAACCAAGGGAGATGGATCATAATCTTAACATTAAATATGTGGCCAAATCAATATATTTGAATAACTATAGTTCAGTAGGAAAGATATTTCTTTAATCATAAACATCGATCATAAAGTTATTTCTGTCCACTTTCTGCAGGAATCATAAGGTGGCATTTGAAGAGATGTAGCTTGTATTTGAGATTAAATCTGTTTGAAGTACATAACTTTTATTGTAAAAAGTGATATTAGTCAAGAATTGTCAGAAGGTCACAATATGAACTGATGTAATATAGATTTATTTAACATATGAAATATCAATATCAATTTAATATCTAATATAAAAAAACACTTCATTGAAAAGTTATAAGCAATTTTGATTGTTTAAATAATCCTCTTTAGAAATAAATATAAGCTGGCATGAATTACACAATTATTATTTAAAATACTTCAAAAGCACAATTTAATATCTGCTGCTAAAACTTGTTTTCAATATTTAAGAAAGAAATGTAATTACTGTAGCTTTAACTTTGATTTTTAAAAGAGATCTACTTTAATGATTTTTCCATAAACCATGTACATTTTCACCCACAAAGAAAACTTCAGTTTTGTTGTACATATAAAATGACAGATCTGAAGATGTTTATAATTTTGTTTATTCATAAATAAAACTTCCATTTCTATTTTCAGGATAGTAACCCCAGTAGTCCTGATAGTGAACAAACAATTCCCAAGTCAATGGAGTTACCTCAATTTTTATGATGCATTCAGTGAATTGTTATGAGATTATTGTTATGGCTAAATGAAATCCACCTGGATACATCACAATATTCTACTATTGGTGTAAAATATTCAACTCAGTTTTTATACGCCCGTTTACGGGACGTATTATGGTAAACCGTTGACCGTCCGTCTGTCCGTCCGTCCGTCGTCAACATGTCGGACATTAATTCAAAAACGCTTTTACCAATATGCATGAAACTTTGGTGAATTGTTTATATCTATTGACGTGAGCTCCCTTTCGTTTTTTATAAATTTCAGATTTACCATTTCCGAGTTTTGGGGTTTTATTCATTAAAAGAGGGGTGATTTTCCAGTTTTCGGACTATAACTCAAAAACAATTTCACCAATTTGCATGAAACTTTTGTGAATTGTTTATATCTATTGACGTGAGCTCCCTTTCGTTTTTTATAAATTTCAGATTTACCATTTCCGAGTTTTGGGGTTTTATTCATTAAAAGAGGGGTGATTTTCCAGTTTTCGGACTATAACTCAAAAACAATTTCACCAATTTGCATGAAACTTTTGTGAATTGATCATATTTATTGATGTGAGCTCCCTTTCGATTTTTTTAAAAATTTAGGATTTACCGTTTCCGAGTTTTGGGGTTTTGTTCATTAAAAAAGGGGGGATTTTCCAGTTTTCGAACAATAACTCAAAAACAATTTCACCAATTTGCATGAAACTTTTGTTAATTGTTCATATCTATTGATGTGAGCTCCCTTTCGTTTTTTATAAATTTAGGATTTACCGTTTCCGAGTTATGGGGTTTTATCCATTAAAAAAGGGGGGATTTTCCAGTTTTCGGACAATAACTCAAAAAAAATTTCACCAATTTGCAAGAAACTTTTGTGAATTGTTCATATCTATTGACGTTAGGTCCCTTTTGATTTTTATAAATTTCAAGACTATACGTTTCCGATTTATGGGGTTTTATTCATTACAAAAAGGGGGATTTTCCAGTTTTCAGCATTTTTTATGAAACTTTGGTAAATCTATTTTTGTAAGCTCCCTTTTGATTTTTATAAATTTTCGATTTAATGTTTCCGAGTTATAAGATTTTATTTGTTTATAGTCTGACAACAGATTTAATAAGTATTACGCAACAGCACAGTGTATTGCACAACAGCAAGAAATCTTTCATATAACCAATTTGAAGTTCTTTTACTACATTTATTCAGAAACCTATAATATATCAAATATTTAATTACAATCCAAATTCTGACCTGTATCAAACTTGAATATTGTGTCCATTTTTGCCCCAACTGTTCAGGGTTGGACCTCTGCGGGCGTATCCAGCTGCGCTCAGCGAAGCAGTTTATTTTCAAAAAATTTAACGATCTTCTAACACAATTTATGATAATTGAATTATATAAGATTTTAATGTTGACTGATAGCAGAATCGATTATAAGACATAGTCACCATTCCTGTGGTTGGGTACTAACTTGTTACTTTTAAAATAATTTGAGAATGAAATATTTTACTGTTATGAGTACAGTTGAAAATAGTCATGATACAAATTAAATTGATTACAAGAAATGCCTTCTAGGGCTTCCATGTTATTTTTTCCAGATCACATGTTATGCAATTATTTTTTTTACTGTATAAAAGTTGTGCAAGGCCAAATATTATGCATGAAAGGGTGAAAATGATGTGATATAAAATTTACAAATTATTTAGTCAATCTCTGCAATAGGTTCAAAACTGCATTAGCATATAAGTGGCATAATAGAAAGCTGTTTTAAATCAGCAAAACATTAATCATAGGATGTTTACATATACATTTATGTTGAAAGTTTAACCTTTAGTTTTTATACGACCGCAAAAAAATGTTTTGTGGTCGTATATTGGTATGACGTTGGCGTCGTCGTCGTCGTCTGGCGTCGTCCGGCGTCGTCCGAAGACACATTGGTTTTCGCACTCTAACTTTAGTTTAAATGAATGGATCTCTATGAAATTTTACCACAAGGTTCAATACCACAAAAGGAAGGTTGGGATTGATTTTGGGGGTTATGGTACCAACAGTAAAGGAATTAGGGGCCAAAAAGGGGCCAAAAATAAGCATTTTTGTAACTTCCAGACATAACTTGTGTGTTAGTGTATGGATCTCTCTGACATTGTACCACAAGGTTCCATATCACAAAAGGAATGCTGGGATTGATTTTGGGGGTAATTGCCTCAAAATTTTAGGAATTAGGGGCCAAAAAAGGGGCAAAAAACAAGCATTTTTCTAGTTTCAGGACAATAACTTGTGTGTAAGTGTATGGATCTTTCTGAAATTGTACTACAAGGTTCTATATCACAAAGGGAAAGCTGGGTTTTAGTTTGGGGGTAATTGCCCTAAACGTTTAGGAATTTGGGGCCAAAAAACACATTTTTCTAGTTTCCAGACAATAACTTGTGTTCAAGTGTATGGATCTCTCTGAAATTGTACTGCAAGGTACCATACCACAAAGGGAAGGCTGGGATTGAGTTTGGGGGTGATGAATCATAAGAGGGTTCAAAAATTTGGGGGGGGGATTTTTTTTTTTTTCCTTTTTTTTCTTTTTTTCCTTTTTTTTTTTTTTCTTTTAAAATTTTCCATTTTAAGTTGGTTATTTCTGATTTATATTTAAAAGCGAATAATAATGATATGGTAGGAGATACACACCAAACAGGATGTATAAATTATTATATAATAAGTATTGTGCAATAGCAAGAAATTTTCAATTGCACAGTATTGCGCAATATCAAGAAATCTTCAATTGCACAGTATTGCGCAATAGCAAGAAATATCCAATAGCACAATATTGCGCAATAGCAAGAAATTGTCAATTGTACAGTATTGCGCAATAGCAAGAAATATTTAATTGCACAGTATTGTGCAAAAGAAGATACTTCGTATAAATTGCTTATTTCTTGACCAATTTCAATGGGGTTTTATTCTTGAATTCTTGGGTTTCTTTAATATGCTGAATCTAACCGTGTATTTAGTTTTTGGATTTTGGGCCCCGTTTTTAAATTGGTCCACATTGAGGTTCAAAGGGTCCAAAATTAAACTTTGTTTGATTTCATCAAAAATTGAATTATTGGGGTTCTTTGATATGCCGAATCTAACCGTGTATTTAGATTTGTAATTTTTGGTTCCGTTTTCAAATTGGTCTACATTAAGGTCCAAAGGGTCCAAAATTAAACTTAGTTTGATTTTAACAAAAATTGAATTTTTAGGGTTCTTTGATATGCTGAATCTAAACATGTATTTAGATTTTTGATTATGGGCCCAGTTTTCAAGTTGGTCCAAATCGGGGTCCAAAATTAAACTTTGTTTGATTTCAACAAAAATTGAATATATGGGGTTCTTTGATATGCTGAATCTAACCATGTATTTAGATTTTAGATTTTTGGGCCCCGTTGTCAACTTTGTCCACATTGAGGTCAAAAGGGTCCAAAATTAAACTTTGTTTGATTTCATCAAAAATTGAATTCTTGGGGTTCTTTGATATGCTGAATCTAACCATGTATTTAGATTTTGGATATTGGACCATAATAGGTGAATGTCCAATTTAAGATTTTTAAGTTCTTAGACCACATTCATTCTGTGTCAGAAACCTATGCTGTGTCAAATATTTAATCACAATCCAAATGCAAAGCTGTATCAAGCTTGAATGTTGTGTCCATACTTGCCCCAACTGTTCAGGGTTCGACCTCTGCGGTCGTATCAAGCTGCGCCCTGCGGAGCATTTTATTGTATCTTATGACTGTCTAAGATATATTCATAAAACTTATGATTTCAGACAGAAAAACCATTATGAAATTTATGGCATTACAAAATTATTAACATCAAAATACAGCTTTTGAACTGAAACCAAGTTTTATCATCTGTTAGAAAGGTTTTTAAAATTGTAATAATTAGTAAAATTATTGATTTTTTTTGTGGTACAATAAGTTCTGAAAGGGACTATAAATGCAGCGTGAGTCTTTCAAAGGACTATAAACTTAGTTTAAGAAAAACTATGGGTATGTTTTTGATATTTTCAGACAATTTGAAGTAAGGACCTAAAATCTAAATATAGTCCGTGATTATCAAAAGATTAATACAATTTTGGTGGGCTAGTAAACTTTTTCTGGAACTCTTAATTGCTAATCTGAAGAGCAAATGCTGCTTGGGATTGTAACTATATTATGTGGTAGTTATATAAAAACAAACTGTTATTATGTTTTGTAGTGGTTCGTTGCCATCTGCCCTAGTATGTAGCTGTTGGTTATTTTAAGTTGGCATTAATTACGTTGAAATTCCATGTTTATTTCACCATAACAGTTACAGCATAAAACTACAAATTACCATGGCCTTCCACTGAAGGATAAAACGTAGAACTACAATAGTGGAAAAGTCTTCATTCACTATGCTATTGATGTAAGAGAATCTGAAGAATATATTTTCAACACTGATAAGTAATTTAGTAATTTGCAATATAAAGGATGGTGGTCATATGCCACTACAAATCATTACAGTTTATTTTGTTATATTTTATGAATATTTTACCAATCAAAACTTCAGAGGTTTTCAATAATGTAATGGTGATGTACGATTTAAAAAAAAATTGAATTCAAACAATTTTTTTTAATATTAGTAAATCTGCTTCTTTACCTCTATAAAAGGTAAAATTATAGATATATATATATATCTTTTTTAAATATTTATATTTCTAAACTCATTTTATATTGTTATCTACTGTTGTTATATTGATTTTGTGAAAATATTAATTTTCTTTTTGATGTGTACTGCTTCCATAGAACTGTCAATCTGACAGTATTTTCAATAAATTCATTGAATATTATGTATATTCAAATGTATATACATGATACATGGAGGAGGTATGTTTATATTACCATTGTTCGCCTAGTCACTTCAATTAAAGTCAGTTTGGTAACTATGCATAGTAAATAGATTTTTATTTGATTGATATTTGTTTTGTAGTGTAAATGATTTTAAGGTATTCCCTTTTTAACTACATTTTTTTTTGTAAATGCTTGTAAAATATACATTTTGATAGACAACATTGTGTTATGTTATCCCATACAATTTAATCATTTATTGTGTAAGTTTATTTTATATAAGTAAGGATGGTAATATTGAATGATGCCAAAGCCCAAGGTCAAAATTGTTTCCTTATGTTGACAATGTGTGATATGAAATTGTTATAAGTGTAAATATATTTCCTGATGAAATCATAAGAAAGGTTATAAAACCATATTGGAATGTACTGTATTAATTGCTTATGCTGAGCATTTTCCATTTAGAGAGTCATGGGCTATTTTTATACGCTCGTTTACGGGACGTATTATGGTATACCTTTGTCTGTCTGTCCGTCCGTCGTCAACATGTCGGACATTAACTGAAAAACGCTTTTTTGCAAATTTGCATAAAACTTTGGTGAATTGTTTATATCTATTGACATGAGCTCCCTTTCGTTTTTTATAAATTTTAGATTTTACGTTTCCGAGTTATGGGGTTTTATTCATTAAAAAAGGGGATTTTCCAGTTTTTGGACAATAACTCAAGAATGCTATCACCAACTTGCAAGAAATTGTGGTGAATTGTTTATATCTATTGACATGAGCTCCCTTTTGATTTTTATAAATTTTAGATTTTATGTTTCTGAGTTGTGGGGTTTTATTCATTAAAAAAAGGGGGATTTTCCAGTTTTCAGACAATAACTCAAGAATGCTTTCACCAACTTGCAAGATATTGTGGTGAATTGTTTATATCTATTAACATGAGCTCCCTTTCGATTTTTATATATTTTAGATTTTACATTTCCGAGTTACAGGGTTTTATTCATAAAAAAAGGGGGATTTTCCAGTTTTTGGACAATATCTCAAAAATGCTTTCAGCAGTTCTTATGAAACTTTGGTGAATTGTTTATATCTATTGATGTAAGCTCCATTTAGAATTTTATAAATTTTTCATTTATCATTTCTGAGTTATGGGGTTTTACTCATTAAAAAAGGGGGGATTTTCCAGTTTTCGGACAATAACTCAAAAATGCTGTCAGCAATTCTCATGAAACTTTGGTGAATTATTTATATCTATTGATGTAAGCTCTCTTTACATTTTCATAAATTTCTAATATGACATTGAGAATTAATTGAACTTTATTTGTTTATAGTCTGACAACAGATTTACTAAGTATTGCGCAACAGCACAGTGTATTGCACAACAGCAAGAAATCTTTAATTGAATATATAAATTCAATTCATATAACCAATTTTAAGTTCTTTGACTACATTTATTCAGAAACCTATAATATGTCAAATATTAAATTACAATCCAAATTCAGACATGTATCAAGCTTGAATATTGTGTCCATTTTTGCCCCAACTGTTCAGGGTTGGACCTCTGCGGGCGTATCCAGCTGCGCTCAGCGAAGCAGTTTATTTCAGGATGCTTTGGAATAACTTTGTCTAAGTTGTATCAATACTAGATAGATTTTCTTTTTCACCACCATATTGCCGCTTCCATGTTTCACAAGTGATAACGTGATTATTATTTTGAGTTTTACAGTCAGATGTTGCATAAATATAATATAGCTGTTTTGTTACTGAACTGAAGTGTTTTCGTATATGTTTATATATATATATATATATATAAATGTTACTTAAAACTACTATGAGAATATTGCAGAATATATTGAATTAAAATATGTAGTAATGACAAGATGTAGTAAATATTGTGAACACCAAAGATTGAGATAGCTCTCTGCATTTCTTTTTTCTCTACATTAAAGGAGAAAACATTTATTATGTTTCCAAATACCAATTTATCTTGGAACTGATGCATTATATTTGAAATAAAGATGGAATAATACCAAAATCTATAGAACCAATAGGATGTTAATCTAATGAAATCTTTTTTCTGTTAAAGAATGACTTAGTAGTTCTTTTCATCTTGTAAATAAAAATACACATTAGAAAACTACCTCAAAAGTTTTGACATCGAATACTAGCCATGAGATTTGACATAAAATGCTGGAAATTGTAGCAAATAAAATATAAAATTAAGATATATTTTGAAAGTTTGCGAACGAAACAAGTAGTTTTAATTTTATAGATTGAACTTTATTGCAGATTTACAAGCCATGCCTCTCTTTTTGGAAGATACTTAACATTCAAAGATATTCGGTTTTGTTTACCTACTGGTTCCAAGATATAATCTCCATGTTTAATCTAATAAAAATTAAACCTGCGAATGTTATTAGTTAACAGTTAGAAAGTGTTCAAATTAAATTCTCAGGCAACCTCAAAGTTAAAGGAGGGGTAGTTCAAAATTTAGAATTTCAAGGCATTTAAAAAAAATTGTTGAAAAGATGCAGCACTACCTTTTGTTTTGATCTTTGAAAAATTGTAGTGCATTTGAAATTTCCATTCAAGGATATAATTTTTTATGGAACTTTATAGTAAATTTAGTTTTTTAGGCGTAGATTTTCTATTGGAAATCGTAGGTCTATACATACAGAAGTGCAAATTATACTGTTAGCAATGGCAAATGTTAATTTTTGCAATTTTTTTGTTAAAAAAAATGTAACAACACATTGTATTTTGTGTCTTTTTTTATACTGACTGCTGTGCTAATGAAACCCATACTATTTCCAAATTAAGACTTTAACTTGATCAAGTTTTGAGATTGTAAATCAATGCGTATGTCGTGAGACTTTGTTTGGATATACTTTATGTAATAACTGTTAATCCCTACTCCAGGAGTGGGTTCTGTATTCAATCTGTTAGTCCATTCGTCTGTTTATCCTTTTGTCAAGTACTATTTTTGTTGCAACTTTTTTAAGTGCAACGGAATAGAATGACTTCATATTTGGTCAGCAGCTTGACAGTGATTAGTGCAACATGTGCACTTTTTTCTGTCAGAAAACTACTCCTGTTTGCTGATATTGTACAAGTTGCCATATGTGGATTGAACCTAGTATTTTTTGTCATACATTTCTTAGGACTGAACAGAATGACTATATATTTGGTCAGCACTTGACATGAAAGAATTCTAAAGTATGAATACTCTCTGGATCTGTCAGAAGTCTATCCTCTGTTTGCCAATACTTTGACCCTTTCAATATGTTTTATAAACCTTATTTTTCATCATACATTTCTTCTGTAGTATTGAACAGATTGACTTCACATTTGGTCAGCTGTTTGATATGTGGCGTTTCAAGGTATGACCACTTATTGGATCTGTCAGACAACTAATACCTGATTTTTATATGACCTCAAAATTTTTTTGTGGTCATATATTGGTATGACGTCGTCGTCGTCGTGTGAAGACACATTGGTTTTCGCACTCTAACTTTAGTTTAAGTGAATGGATCTCTATGAAATTTTACCCTAAGGTTCAATACCACAAAAGAAAGGTTGGGATTGATTTTGGGGGATATGGTACCAACAGTTCAGGAATAAGGGGCCAAAAATAAGCGTTTTTGTAACTTCCAGACATAACTTGTGTGTTAGTGTATGGATCTCTCTGACATTGTTCCACAAGGTTCCATATCACAAAGGAAATGCTGGGATTGATTTTTGGGTTAATTGCCTCAAAATTTAAGGAATTAGGGGCCAAAAAAGGGGCAAAAAACAAGCATTTTTCTAGTTTCATGATAATAACTTGTGTGTAAGTGTATGGATCTTTCTGAAATTGTACTACAAGGTTCTATATCACAAAGGGAAAGCTGGAATTGAGTTTGGGGGTAATTGCCGAAAATGTTTAGGAATAAGGGGCCAAAAATAAGCATTTTCTTGGTTTCCAGATAATAACTTGTGTTCAAGTGTATGGATCTCTCTGAAATTGTACTTCAAGGTACCATACCACAAAAGGAAGGCTTGGATTGATTTTGGGGGTAATTACCTCAAAATTTTAGGAATTAGGGGCCAAAAAGGGGCAAAAACAAGCATTTTTCTAGTTTCAGGACAATTACTTGTGTGTAAGTGTATGGATCTTTATGAAATTGTACTACAAGGTTCCATATCACAAAGGGAAAGCTGGGTTTGAGTTTGGGGGTAATTGCCTTAAACGTTTAGGAATTTGGGGCCAAAAAGGGGCCTAAAAACAAACATTTTTCTAGTTTCCATACAATAACTTGTGTTCAAGTGTATGGATCTCTCTGAAATTGTACTGCAAGGTACCATACCACAATTGGGAAGGCTGGAATTGAGTTTGGGGGTGATGAATCATAAGGGGGTTCAAAAAATTTGGGGGAGGGATTTTTTTTCCTTTTTTTTTCTTTAAAATTTTCCATTTTAAATTGGTTATTTCTGATTTATATATAAAAGCAAATAATAATGATATGGTTTGAATAGGTTATTTAAAATTTTTTTAAGTTCTTAGACCACATTCATTCTGTGTCAGAAACCTATGCTGTGTCAAATATTTAATTACAATCCAAATTCAGTGCTGTATCAAGCTTGAATGGTGTGTCCATACTTGCCCCAACTGTTCAGGGATCGACCTGTGCGGTCGTATCAAGCTGTGCCCAGCAAAGCATTTTATTGAAACTGTTTTAGAAGAAGGAGGGTGTGAATAGTGCGACAATGAATGTGTTCATTTTAGAGTTGATATCGTACTTAAGCTTGTTATTGAGTTTTAAGATGTTTTACTTTTGTATGTCTTGTTGTATATTATTGTTAAGGAGTTCTAAAAGCTAAGCATGATGTTTATGAGGTGTTTAAGAATTAATGTAAAGGTCAGAAGTGTTTATAGTACATGTAATGGAAGGTAAGGATTAGCATATTGTTTGTTTCCAGTTTTACAAACTCAATATTTTTCATTGTTAGGGTTAGACAAAATTTCAAGGTACTGGTCATTTAAAAGGGAAAAAAATAATTGTTTTTTTCACATGATGTTACTTCAGACAAAAGTTGAAAAATAGAAGTGAAAGATACCAAAGGGACATTCAAACTGATAAGACGAACATAAACTGAAATTGTAATGGCATAAAAAGAAAATAACCAAAAGACAATCAACAGTATACAAAACACAACATGGAAAACCTAAAGACTGAGCAACATAAATCCCAACGATATCAAATGTTTCTATCTTATATATAAATTTTAAAATAGTTTGTCATTTAATTCAACGGTTGATTTGCTTTGAAACGTGCATTATGTTCATTGCCACTACCCATACAGGAGATACTGGTTCAGCAATTATGAATCAAAGTAGAAATGTCAACTTTCCAGAAACATACTGTACATCTAAGATCTAAATCTGCGGCTCTTTACAAAAAAACTCATTTCAGTATAACTTACGATCAATTTTAATCCTAAGATTTATTGTGAAAAGAGTCGCTGGCTTTTAACTTTTGAAATCTAGAGTAATACATTCATTCAATGGAATTTGAAACATTTAGAAGGGATTTAGAATGTTTGATTTGTAGCTTTAGATGAGCGATTTAAATGCCTGCAACTAATGCTGAAGTTGCAATCTTAGGTCAAATACAGTAAACTTAGATTTTATACAGAAATGGTTTTAAGCTAATGCAATCTAAACCTTATTAATATTAGAATATTTTCTGCTATCTGTAGGTTTCAGTAGACATACTTGAAGATGTCCAGCTAAAACGTAGCAATATCACATCTTATGTAGTTAACATGACAGAAAATATGTCAAAATAGTCAATTTTTTCATCACATTGAATTTTAATTGTTTGCTTAATATGTTTTCTTGTCAAATAGAGTGTTTTTGAAAAGATGACGAAAGATGAAAAACAAATATTCAATAAACAGCAAACCTTGTTAAATGTCCTATCAGATGAATTACGTACAGCTTAATTGTTATCCCCTTTTAAAGGGTATGCAGTATTCTTATAAAATTATCACTACCTCTTGTTAGGTAAAACTGATGTGTTATTTTACTGCACATGTCATCTGTTGATGTTCTTATTTTCTTTTAATAATTACAATTTCATGTAAATGTCCTATTTTGCCTTTTAGAGCATTATGATTTTGGTGCTCAATTATATATTTTTATTGTTTTTTAAAATAAAAGGTCCAAAAATCAGTTTTTAATATCTTTTGTTGTAACTTTACTCGATCAATTTACCTTCTATATAAAATAAGGAGATATGGTATGATTGCCAATGTTACAACTATCCACCACAGACCAAATGACGTAGATATTAGCAACTATGGTTCGACAATTAGCAAAACCTATACCTCATAGCAAGCCATAAAAAGCCACACACTTACAAATCAAATGAGAAAACAATCTGTCTTATTTATGTACAAAACAACAAACGAAAAACAAATATGATATACAGTAAAAAAATATGACAATTTTTTAATTACAGGTGTTGGACTATTTGGGGCAATTAAGACCATTGAGCTATAAGTACAAAATAGCATCATAAGTAAAATTCAGAACATTAAAAATAGGTAATACAACCCAAATCAAACAAAGAAAGGTAAGTTTTATTCCTTATTATTCACATAGGGGGAAAAGCTATTGGATGGAAGAAATAATCAACATTTGAAATGAGGAAGGATTAAGTCATTGCTTTTACTGTATTGTATGGAACTCTGTTATTAAAATAACGAATTGGGGATAATGCTCCTCAGTTTGTAATGAACCAGTCAGCAGATCAAGATCATTCCAGGTGAACAATATAATGATATTTGCTTTATAGTTTGTTATTATTGTTTTTAATGTAGAAAAATGACTCGGACCAGATACCTCCATATAGATTAAATAGTTGTTTAGGACAATCTTACTCTCTCTCATACAATGATAAAAACTAAAGAAAAAACAACCTCAACCTGCGCGTTTAGAAGTTGGTAGTCACTCATATGTTGATATTAATAAACAAGTAATGTGTTCAAGTTCGGGTATAGGTGTAGGTCTTCACTTTAGGAGGGTTAAACAATTTGTTTGTTCGGGCTGTCTACTGCTAGAGAACTTTAATATTGGTTTTTGTCGAGCTTGCGACTTTTGTCGCAGAAAGCTCGACATAGGGATAGTAATCCGGCGGCGGCGGCGTTAGCTAACTTCATAAAAGCTTTATATTTTAGAAGCTAGAAGACCTGGATGTTTCATACTTTGTATATAGATGCCTTATGTTACGAAGTTTCCGTCTGTCATATGTCCATTGTCATTGACCCCATTTTCATGGTTCAGTGACTACTTGAAAAAAAAGTCAACATTTTTTGTAATGTTAATTTCTTTCTTATTATGAGTAATAAGATAACTATATTTAGTATGTGGGTACCTTGCAAGGTCCTTATGCCCGTCAGATAATTTTCATTTGACCTCGACCTCATTTTATGGATCAGTGAAAAAAGTCAAGTTTTCGTGGTCAAGTCCATATATCAGATACTATAAGCAGTAGGTCTACTTTATTTGGTATATGGAATGATTGTAAGGTGAACATGTCCAACTGGTAGGTGTCAACTGACCTTGACCTCATTTTCATGGTTCAGTGGTCAAAGTTAAGTTTTTGAGTTTTGGTCTTTTTTTCTATTACTATATATAATAGGTCAACAATAAATGGTGTATGGAAATATTTGTGATGTACATGTCAGTCTCGCAGGTTTTATTTGACCTTGACCTCATTTTCACGGTTCATTTCTCAGTGTTAAGTTTTTGTGTTTTGGTCTGTTTTTCTTCAACTATAAGCAATAGATCAACTATATTTGATGTATGGAAGGATTGTAAGGTGTATATGTCTGCCTGGCAGGTATCATCTGACTTGACCTCATTTTCATGGTTCATTGGTCAATGTTAAGTTTTCATGGTTAAGTTTGTTTCTTAGATACTATAAGAAATAGGTCAACTATATGTAATGCCTAAATTGATTGTCAGGTGTACATGTTTGTCTGGCATTGTTCATCTGACCTTGACCTCATTTTTATGGTTTATTGGTCAATGTTAAGTTTTCTTGTTTAAGACTGTTTCTTAGAAACAATAAGCAATAGGTCAACTATGTTTGGTTTATTGAATGATTGTAAGGTGTACATGTATTTCTCGTTTGATTTATATGACCTTGACCTCATTTTCTTAGATCATGTTAATTTTATGTGTTACTTGTAGTAAAACTGTGTATGTAGGACTATCAACATAAAATCAATGGTTAGTAAAGAAGGCGAGACATTTAAGCGTGTGCACTCTTGTTAGGAATAAATGGGCACTCAGGTAGTCCCACATACAAAAATATATCATTTGACAAGGATGAGATTTTGGCGAATTATAAGCCCTTCATGTCTTCAATGAACAATACATTGAACAGCAAATCTGAGGACTTACCTTGTTTGTATTGGATACCTAAGCTTCACAAAATTCCATACATACAACGGTACATTGCCGGCTCATCTGCATGTTCTACAAAGGAGTTGTCCATTAGATTGACAAAAATTCTATCCGCAGTGAAAGAGGGTCTTCAGAAATATTGTGAACCTGTTTACTTGCATAGTGGTATTAACCATATGTGGATTCAAAAAAACTCTAAAGAACTTCTGGATAATTTTAAATCTCGATCTTTCTCTGGAATTAATTCGATCAAAACATTTGAATTTTCAACCCTGTATACCACTATTCCCCATGTGAAATTGAAAAATCGTCTAAAAGAAATAATCCACAATGCTTTTCAATATAAAAATGGTAGCATACGCTATAAATTTATTACTTTGGGATACCTTTTGGTATATTTTGTTAATAGTGAACAAAATGGTAAAACATGCTACATAGAGGAACAAGTGATCAGTATGCTGGAGTTTCTTATTGACAACATATTTTTTGAATTTGGAGGTAGACTTTTTCAATACATTGTCGGCATTTCTATGGGAACGAACTGTACGCCTCTCCTTGCCGACCTCTTCTTATTTGCATATAAGTCGGAGTTCCTTCAGACACTTGTCAAAAACAAGAAGATCAAAGAAGCCTGATCATTTAATTTCAAATATAGATATATTGATGATCTGCTTTCCATTAACAATCCAAACTTTTCTCATTGGGTTCCATTAATATATCCTCCAGAACTAGAAATTAAAGAAACAACAGACACGGCTTCCTCCGCATCATATTTAGATTTATACCTCGAATTTGACATCAGCGGTCATCTCAGTACCAGAATCTATGACAAACGAAACGATTTTAATTTTGAAATTATCGATTTCCCCCACCTTAGTAGCATTAATATACCAACTTCACCTGCATATGGGATATACATTTCCCAATTCATTCGGTATTCAAGACCTTGCAGCTGCTATTCAGACTTTATAAAACGTCACCAGTGTCTGAGCAGAAGGTTGATGAACCAGGGTTATGTCAAAGAACGTCTCGTTCTTTTTCTAAAAAAGTTCATCGGACGATACCAAGACCTTGTTGATAAATATTCCGTATCAGCTTCACAAATAATACATGATGGTCTTGAAGTATAGATTCTAGATACTGACGTTGTTTATCATCTTAATTGTGTGTTATAGTGTTCTTTTATTTGTCTTTGTAAATTATTAACCTTTACCGTTTAGTCCTTTTTTGGTAATACCCTTTTGGCGTGGCTCGGGACTTATGCATCCCGCTATTGTGTTGTTGTGCTGTGGTCATTTTTTTGTATTATTGTCTTTCATTTGTGCTTACGTGCTTTGTCTATATGCCATTTTGTTTTTCTTTGTTGACATATTTGTTTGTCTTTATAGTGATTACGATTATAACACGATGTTGACTGCTGTACCCCTATTTTTGACATTTTTACCTATTATGTCTGTTTATTTTGTTCACACATTGTTGTCAATATAATGGAATTTTATGCGACTGTCATACAAGTGAGAGCTCTAGCTAGCTATAAAACCAGGTTTAATCCACCATTTTCTACATTAGGAAATGCCTGTTCCAAGTCAGGAATATGACAGTTGTTTTCCATTTGTTTGATGGATTTGGGCTTTTGATTATGCCATTTGATAAGGGACTTTCCGATTTGAATTTTCCTTGGAGTTCGGTATTTTTGTTATTTTACTTTATGAAACAATGAAATTTCCTGTAATGAAGAAGTCTTTCAACGATCATTCTTGGTTTTTTAAAACTATAGTATACAAAAATAAACCATGTAGCCTACAAAAATAAACCATGTAGCCTACATAAAATATTACCATTATGAATTAGCTAGTTAACTGGTTATTTTACGAAAAGTTCTTTCAAAAGAAGATAAAAATCCTTTTTACATCTGTATCTTTGGTATATTTTTAACTTTTATATACCATCAGATGATAATGCTTTGTAAACTTTAAGAAGAGTTTTGCAGACAAACTTTCACCATATGAGACTTTTGCAATAAAATTGACTACGTTGAACAAAAGTATTTCAGAGATTATTTGAAGGAGATTTAAACTCGGAATATTTGTAGCCCTGTTCTACATTTTTAACTGCTGTGAACTGCAATGAGTTTTTAGTTCTGTATCTTTATGTTAGAAATTTTTACAAAATTAAGGTCAATATTGGTACTGCCATATGGTCAACATCTGGCAATTTTGTGAAAAACTCTTATACAAAAGATATGATATACATTTCTTTACAAATTTATTTAGTAATTAATGTTGTCCAATAAAGTACTCTAGAGTCACATTGATTTGTTTGTTGATATCAAGTCAAGGTTACTGCTTCAATAGTGTGTTTGTTTTGTTATATCTTATTTTCTTATTTTTTTTTTTTTTTTTCATATTAAAAGCTATCATACTCAGTTATCATAACACTTCCTTTCGAGTTACATCATACTGCTATTTTTAAGTAAAAGCAGACTTTTATTTAGTACCCAAATACGAGCGATTGAGCCTCAAATTATAATACATTCAATATATAAATTGCTTAAATGTGGAGTATATATTTCCAAGATACAGATATCTCATAGATAAGTTTTTCTTGTCAATATGCCGATAATAGACCGTTGCGCTTTGCAGGGAAACTACTGCACCTCGGATTATCAATTTCGAAAAAAAAATGTAAAGTTTTAACCTGGATTTATTACCTGCAATTTAGAGGGTAGGAATGTATTATTTATAAATTGGAGTCTGCTGAAT